TTCCCAGGCTTCATCTATCCATGATTGTAGCCGGTTACCAGCATTATTTTCTAAAAAGTTATAGAGCTTCAAACAACAGCATCCAAAATCAGAATTTCGCTGCATTCACGTTTTGGCTAGAATTCGAGCCCGAAAAAGGGCACTTCTTAAAAAACTTAGCTGCTTCATGCAAAGGAATCTCCTACATTATGCATACTTCAGCAATCTCTCAGAAATCATCTAGACCAAGCTATCGGTTATCCAGTTCCTCAACATGGTTGGTCGCTTTGGTCATTCGGTAGCCTATAGATTTCTTCTGAAAAAGGCAATCGACAAAGCTATGCTCATTTTTCTAAGCATAAGGGTAGTGCATCTTGTTGACAGTTTTTGGAAGACCTTCTTCTGTTCAGTACGCGGGAAGCTAGAAAATTCTATAATTTGGGTTTTTGAAACCTAATGAAAATATTGAAAAAAACTAACAATTTTGAATTTTGATTTTTCCTTATGTTGCAAAATTTTGTTGTCGAAGCCCTTTCCATCTCCTTTTGTCCTATTGGCTTGCGGCTACAGGATAGGCAACTCACCATATACACTAACAAACTTTGAAGTATGGTCTGTCGAAAACAAAGTTTCAGAAAAAAATTGTTTTTATTTTTTGACATATATTTTTCTCCCGTACTTGGTGTGAGTATGGCTCACTGCGCGCTTTGTTGCAAGAGGTTTGCTGCTTCTGATAATCCTTCTGCATTCGGGATTGCAGATTTTCTAGAGAGTTATAGCACGTCAAAGTGAGAATTTGCAAAATGGCCATTATATTAGGTCTAATATTAGATTGTCCCGAAAGTTTTGTCCGTTTTTTCAATCTATCATAAAAACACTTAGAACAAAAATAGGGAAACGCTCTAGACACAACCCGACGCACCTTATCCTCCTTTTTCAAACTGTCATACTCCCACGCCGATTACTCTTTTGCTTACTGACCATGGTTTTTAACATGTCCAAATTTGGCAATTTTTCACAATTTTCATTTTCAACTTCTGGAAAACCTTTTAGAGCGCTCAGATAGAGTAAACAACGGGCAATTCAATGCAATTTTTAGGCTTATCCAGATGGCTTTCAGTATTTTCTAAGATAATTTTTCCAAAATCACTTTTGCGAAGTCCCAAAGTACAGAAACGCTTCGAACACTAACAAATCATCGGATTTTGAAACTTTTAAAAATCGATCACGATTATTCACTATTTTTACAAAGCAACTGAGCGTTTACCGCTTCGAAATATAAGATTTCGCATTTTACGGTACACGCTGGGGCGGGGGTCAAATTCGAGAATTATGGAAATTCTATCTCTAGGGACCCCTTAAATTGGAGAGAAAATACATTCACTGGAAAGAAGAGGAAAAGCTGTATCGAATAACACCTTAGTTGTGCGCCGTTTCATGATGTCTGGCTTTTGGCATCACCAAAAATGGAATTTGATAGCATCAGAAAAATAAAAAAATCTAAAAAAATTTTAAGGCTAGCTGTAGATGCCGCAGAATTGCATCATATTGCCCTTTGTTTGCTCTATCTAAATGCTATCAAAGCTCTTCCGAAAGTCAAAAATGAAGATTGTGAAAAATTGCCAAACTTGGACATAGTAAAAACCATGGGTTCGAAATTTCGGCGTTTATCTCAGTGAGCAAAAGAGTAATCGGCATCGGAGTATGACAGTTAGAAAGAGGAGGAAAAGATGCGCCGGGAAGTGCTTAGAGCGTTTCTTTTGTTCCACGTATTTTTATGATAGGTTGAAAAAACGGACAAAACTTTCGGGACAACCTAATAGTAATTAGCGTGTCGGATAAGTTTTATGGTCAAATTTTTCAAGGAAATTGTGCATGAATTCTCGTTCCTCGCTCTCGAGCTCCCCGCAGGTTTTGGCTGAAATATGACCTTGGATTGACCGAGCACAAAATTTCGCGCAGAGGCTTTTCTACACCTCTTTATAAAAGTAGTAGTAATTCCGCACTAAGAGTTATACAGTAACGTTTTCCCGAGAAAGATGTAGTTAATTCTCACAAAACGGCAGCTTCAACTGCACTTACTCATCTGTTCGAAAATCTAGCTGCATAACTGTGTAGGTTGGAGACTCTACGGACAGTGGTATCTGACCAAGCTCAACAAGGCCGTTATCTGCACTCTCTCCCAGGTTATCATCTTATATATAACGCTGAATGTCTGTTTGTCTGTCTGTCTGTATGTCTGTATGTCTGTCTGTCTATCTGTACGTATGTTCCGAATAGAAAATTTTATTTCTTAACCTATCCGAATCAAACTTGGCACACATACACTTCGGGCCCCGGTGGGTGTCATAGGCTACTTTTCGTCATCGATCGATATCGATTTTATCGATTTTTTGCAAAATTTGAGCTACGGGGCTGGGAGTTGGCACAGGGGGGTAATATTGTAAACTAATATTGTATTCGTAATCAGCATGCTCGATTATCCCCCTGTGCCAAATCCCAGCCCCCTAGCCCAAATTTTGCAAAAAATCGATGAAATCGACATCAATAGATAACGAAAAGTGGACTGTGACACCCGCCGGGGCCGAAGTGTATGTGTGCCAAGTTTGATTCGGATAGGTTAAGAAATGGAATTTTCTATTCGGAACATACGGCGGAGCCGGGTAAGCCAGCTAGTCAGCTGATAAAGTACGTTTTTATGAGTATGCCAAACTTAAAGGTTGTGTGTTTTGCTGAAATTTTATCATGAATGCATGCAACACGAGCAAAATGACATAACTGGAAACTCAAAAAAATTTCACCAGTATAAAATCTTCAATTTCGAAATAAAACAAATGCATGACTTCGTAAACTCACAGCTTGAGAGTGCAGATAGGGGCCTTAATGAGCGCGGTCCGATAGCGCCGCTTATAGACACTCTAACCTAGAAAAATACTAACAAGGAGGGGATACTTATTGTTAGTCGAAAGCACCAATCCAGGTGAAACCCATATCATCTTAAAGCGATTGAAACGCTGATTCCAAATCTGTAGTTTTTAGTAGGGAGCGGTTTTGTAGAAGGAGTTATGAGGGGTGTTTCCTTCTGGGGTTAAGGCGCCCTCCAGCAGGTTTCCCCTTACCCTACTGGTACCACCTGGTAGCAACTGGCTAGTATTAAGTAATTTGAATGAAGGTTACATTAAGGATTATAGTACTCGTATTACTTTGATTTTTTAACACTTCCAATTTCAATTAACATCAATATCATCCGAAATTTCAGGGTTTGGGGCTCCAGAGCCATTTGAAAGCTCAAGAATTGCGATAAAGTTGCATGCGAAGGTGATTAAAACCTTGACACTCTCTTTATCGAGCAAGGCACTTACCACTAGGCCACTTGCCACCAGTTGGTACTCCTCTACAGTGCTCATAGATAAGGGGAGACCTGCTGGAGGGCGCCTCAACCCCAAAAGGAAACACCCCTCATAACTTCTTCTACAAAACCGCTCCCTGCCAAAAACTACAGATTTTAAAATCAGCGTTTTAAGCGCTTTAAGATGATATGTGTTTCATTTGGATTGGTGCTTTCGACTACGTATCCTCTCCTTGTAAGATAAATTTCTTACCGGATGAACGAAAAGTGCAGCTAAAATTGCCATATTGTGAGAATTGGCTGCATTCACGATGAGTTCACTGTAAGATTTTTAGTGAGAATTAGCTAAGATTTCTTTGAGCAGCGAGTCCGAAAACCTTTGCGAGCTAAGATTCCGGTCAATCCAAGATTAACAACATTTGAACCGTAACCTGCCTACGATGAGCGAAAAACGAGCAAAAATTAAATGACACGATTTTGTCGAAACATTTAGCCAGAATATTTATCCCACAAGCTAGTTACGAAAATCACATCTGAGCATAATAGCTTTTCACTGTAGGGCTAAGGTAAGTGAAATACAAATGAATGTGGGTTGCTTCAAAGTTTGTTAGCTGTTATTTCCTTCATACCCAAAGAATTGGCGCTGTGGGCTGCTAGGAAAATCGGAAAGCTGCGAGCCAACTTAAGTACTCAAGTTAACGTGCCGAACAAAGTACTGATTCAAAATTAGCTTAAGTGCTGCTGTGAACTTGTGGTAAACAAAATGTTTGCAGAAATTGCGATTATCCTAAATTCACACTCATTCTCTTAGTTTTGAATACGAATGATTTTCTGCTGAGGATTGTATTATGACACAGCTTTACCGAAAAATAATTGCTAAAGCTACGCGCTGCGCTATACCATCAGGAAAGCAGTCCGACAAAGAATTGTGTTCACTGTATAGCAACCATTCAGACATATCCAAATAAACTGACATTACATATATACGATTGTATCTGTGTGTGCCATCAACAACAACATATGGATGTGTGCCATCCTTTCTCCTGTACTCTTACACTATCCGTACGAAATGCCAGTAGTAAACAAGTGTAAATGTATCAGCCACAGACTAATTCATCTAAAAAAATCTGATTCGGTAAAACTAACTATCCATCGTATATCTCTAGGCGTATATACTAGGGCACAACTATATGTTAGATGATGTGCCTCGCCGAACTAAGTCGAATGTTACTTATAGATTCAGAATTCGTAAACTTTAAATCGAAATAAGGCGCAATTTCAACTTACTCTCTCGAAAAGTTAGGCACTCACAGCTAAAAGGTTTATTTTACGGAAGACAGATAGTAATTTTTTCTTTACAGTACATTGTAGCCAAAATCTTATTCTATTATGCTACACATTGTCGCGCACAAATGTTTCGGCAAGTTATGTTGTTTTCAGAGACTATAGTGGGATTGTGAGTCACAAATTGTCTTAATGATGAAGTATCAACAAACAGGATCGCTTTTCATTCAATGAGCTCATCTTGCACACGAGTTTAGCACTATAGAATACACTTGCCATCAATTCTGGTGCACTTCATAGTTGAATGACGCGAACTAGGGTCGGCTCTTCAAGAATGATGAAAGTAAACGCCTACTTATTTTAGTAGAATTTTTTATGACAAACTTACAGAGTTGCATCGAAAGTTTAGTTCCTCCATAACATATGCGGATATGTTCTCCACACTGAACTTGTTGTTGGTACACAGCATGTCACACAGGCACCCTACAATTGAGCAAGTTGCAGTTTACAGCTCCAAACGATTTTCTAAAAATATGAATTTTTCGTCGTTATAACACATCAACACTTGAAGATAGGCAGATTGGAAGATAGTGGAATTGGGGTCTTCAATAACTAGTGAAGCAGTTAGGCAGTTACACCATCAAAACGCAAAAGCTCCATTTTTTAAATACTGAAACTTTTTAAGTTTGCTTCTGATTGCGATTTTTATCGTAGCAGAAATTGCATTCGTTCAAAATAAGCGGCCGCAGAAAGCGGTCAATTACTAAAGTAACCAACTTTAAGGGGGCGCTCGTTACTTGTGGGTGGCTCACTGATCGCGACGCGCGTTGAGGTGTTACAGTAACCCGCGTGAGCAGTAGGGCAGGAAATTTGTCCATATTTATGCATCCTAAGTTCCCATTATTCTCAAATCTTGATTCTTGATTTTCTTTTCCTTTTTTCCTCAAAAATCTCAGAAATCCGGAAACTATAATATTAAGGGATCGTGCTAAAAACGAACCGTGGTGATCAAAACTTTTTAAAATGGTAGCAGTGTCGTTTATCTACGATGAAACATATTCCAAATGACTCTTTCGAAATGACCACTTGATAATTTATGTTTCTGTTGTCTTCTAGAAAGAGTTTTTGTACAAGTTTTGTGGTCGAACTTCGAATGAGCAGTATAAACTAATTCAAAGAAAGTCTGCATTTTAGCCCACTTTTTCCCTGCAGTGGTTATGCCAACAACTTTTAATCTCTAGGGAAAAATTCTAGCTTGTAGTGGCCTCTTCAGATGATATGCATAGGGTTTTAAAAATTGAACGCCCTTTCAACTCTGTCCTCCTTATCTCAAGCGCCCCGCGGAAGGAGTTGAGTTTATGGCGAGGATATTGAAGGCCCCGAGGATGGAAATTATACATAGAAGCCGCCCGTGGGTTCCAGTGGAACAATAACGTTTGTCCAACCATTTTGGCAAAGACTAATCTCTTTCTGTCATATCCATGCAAACAATTAGAGCTACAAAAATGCTCAGGACGTTATAATCAGTTTTATCCTCGAGAAAGCAGATTTGGGTCAGCGTTTGATGCCCTTCAAAGATACATGCAACTCATCTCAAAAGGCCACTTCGACTAATGATCCTTACCCTGTCAGATAAAAGAAGAAGAATCAGGCTCAAATGTTTTTGCCGTTCCAGGGCCTTCTCATACCTCCGATTCCGAATATCAAGTCGGAAATCCACGAAAACCACGAATGACCCGTTTTCAGAACCTGCAGAGCGATTTCTTCGGAAAGATGATTGGTTGGGCGCGTACGGATGGGTGGGACGAACGTCCCTCCCTCAAAGGGGAGGAGCCAACATGGGGAATCTGTCACCCCCGAGCGATTTTCGAAGCAATTTTCTCGCTTCGGAAGCAATTTTTACCAGCGTGAGGAGATAAGTATACAGTTTTGTGCCACACTGCCGTCAGACATCAAAATCTCATCGACCCCATTTTGGGTGGACGGTGCCTTGAGTTTTTGTGCCTTTCAGCACCTCTCACGCTCGCTGAGTCTGAACCCAGGCCTCAAATAAACGAAGATCTTGAATTTGAGTTTTGGATGCCTTCAAGAATCCGCAGTAGACCAGCATTTTTTGCGTCTGCCGCTCAGGCGCCTTTTAATCTCTAGGGAAAAATTCTAGCTTGTAGTGGCCTCTTCAGATGATATGCATAGGGTTTTAAAGAAAATTGAACGCCCTTTCAACTCTGTCCTCCTTATCTCAAGCGCCCCGCGGAAGGAGGTGAGTTTATGGCGAGGATATTGAAGGCCCCCAGGATGAAAATTATACACAGAAGCCGCCCGTGGGCTCCAGTGGAACAATAACGTTTGTCCAACCATTTTGTGCAATGACTAATCTCTTAGACTAATGACTATTCTCTGTCAGACATCAAAATCTCATCGACCCCATTTTGGGTGGACGATGTCTTTGAAGGCACCGTCCACGCAAATCCTCGATCTTGAGTTTTTGTGCCTTTTAGCACCTCTCACGCTCGCTGAGTCTGAACCCAGGCCTCAAATAAACGAAGATCTCAAATTTGAGTTTTGGATGCCTTCAAGAATCCGCAGTGGACCAGCATTCTTTGCGCCTGCCGCTTAGCCGCGGGCCAGCTGCGAGTCCGCCGCCAGGCAGAGACGCACCCTAGCATAATTCGATCGATTTCTTGAGCTTTGCGCCTGCTAGGCGAAATCACTATGTGGGCGGGACGAACGTACCGCCCTCTTGCGAGGGAGGAGCCAATGTGGCGAATCTGTTTCCGAAGGATTTTCAAACGATTTTCTCGCTTTAGAAGCAACTACAGACAGCGCGAGTTGGACTGTTATAAAGCTGAGGGCTCCGCAACTGTTATTTATCAAAATCTCACAGACCCTATTTTGGGTGGACGGTGCCTTCAAGATGCCACCCAATATTATCAGCCATAAAAGTGGACGAAGTTTTATTTTGTTGTAAGAGAAAAGATATTGTATGACATTTCTAGAGTGAAGGAAAGAAGGTTTAGCTGTTTACTATAAAATAGATATCCCAACGCTTTGAAGGCAGGTAAAATGGGCATCGTTTCAAAAAAATGTGGCAGCAACACCTTCATTGGGATTGTGTTACATCTTAAAATTTTTGTGATAGAGAGATTTTTGGCGAATGAGTATGAGGTTTGTAGCTTGATTTTTATGTTTTAACAGAAGTGATTTGTGTTCTTCGTCTTCATTCGGCGTAGCGATCGATGAAGGATTACTACTGAGAATGTAAGGTGATGTGAACGAAATCTTTACTGGGCTCCTTATTCTAATGGCGTTATAGATAGGATTCCTGGTAAATTTAGGCAAGGACTAATGTCTTGTATTAGGAGTGAAAAATGGTGATGATACTCATGATGCTTGGTAAGGGCCTTTTTCTTGTGCTTACGGAATGTAAACGGTAATGAAATAGACTTTTATTAGAACACGACAGGGGTCGTATCTGGTTGGCTTGTGCCATAGCTCTTGCTCGACCCTGGGTGCCTTGCACGTGAGACTACTTACATAAACTGCTTTTGAAGCAGTTGAGGGGACGTTTCACCAGGAGATTTACTGAGAAGGGCGGCGGACATCCTGCGATTTAACTTGCGGTTGTTAATCTTCCAGTTGCCAAATGTCTATAAATCCATTGTGCAAAACAGCTCAAAGACTTGATAGTATTGAAAGTACTCAGATAATTGCATCGGAAAGTTCGCGGCCTCAAAGCGTGCTACATGCGGCGCCGCGGCCCTTAAAATTTCAGCCGCGCACGCCGCGGCCCATGCTTATTTTACCGCAAACGCGGCGGCTAAAGTTAAAATTGGAAAGAGCTTATCGGGAAAGTCGCGGCCCAATCACCTCACTCGGCGTGCCGCGGGCCTTATCAAAGGCCGCACTTCTTACACGCTGTAGTTTAAGGCCAACCCGCGTGAGGTACGCCTCAGCGATAGGGCTACCCTAAGTGTTTGTGGGGATGGTAATTGCTTCTCGGGTTGGGTTGTGTGACAGTGAGTTTATATGCTCACGAAACAAACTTAATATTCGGTTGAGTGTTATCGACGACAGTAGATGGTGTCGACAGATAAGCTAACAAGTTGCTCAATTTGTACTCAGTCGTTTTCATGAAAGACAGGCCAAAATTATTTCATTCTTCCTAAGCCTCACAAACATGCTAATCGGGTCAATTATCGGGCGCTTAGAGGATGCGCCGAGGTCACTTGCCGGGTCCAATATCGGTTGGTTTATACCGGGCAGCTCGCGGCTTGGATGATTGGTGACCGAGCAAGCACCCGCGAACTTCCCGATGCAACTGTTTGAGTAGTGTGCAAGAGGAAGGGTAGGCCGCATAGACTGAAAAAGGCTCAGTCATTGGTCATTATTAGGTTGAAGGAAATCAATGGGGCAGCTTGATTTTTCTTACATTTTGAACCCTTTCGTTATGATTTTCAGTAACCGAGCAGCAACAGCGTCACTTATATAAGTTCTCTTTGCTTATGATTTCTAATTGCGCGCTACCGCTCTTTTTTCAAAACGAAAAATTTATGTTAATCTTTTTCAAATAAGAAAGAAGCGATTTGCATAAAGATAGATAGGGCGTCAATACTCTACCACAGTAGTATATACTCATACAAAGAAATAAATAACAAGTGTCCCCTTACCCTGAACTGCTTGCGACTATATCTTCTGCCTTAAAACCATGCTATTTTTGAATTATCAGGTTAGGTGACAGTCAACTCGCGCAACGCAGCACGATAGCTTGGATAGCCGCAAGTGCCACACCACTCGTATTTTTGAAATAACGGCGCACAGTCGCCCACATCATGTGACATCACCGTAGCGTAGCCACATTTCGCTTCAGAGAGGACAAATTTTTCGACCAAGGCCATTATTTGACTCATCTCGGCGCGACGCATCTTCTGATATATGAAGTGCCTGTTTGAACACAGTGAGAGGCCAAATTCCACGAATCATTTCAGATTTTTGTTTTTCTATTGAACCCTTCCGCTTTGATATTCAGTAACCAGGCAGTAAGAACGTCACTTATATAAGTTATTCTTTGCTAATGCTGTAGGTTGCTCAGTGAGTGCAGTAAATAAGCACACTGAGTAGCCTACCGCAAGCAAAAACCCAAAACACTTCGTGGAATCTCATCTCCTACTGTGTCCAAGCGCCCATCTAAATATAGAAAGATGCGCCGCGTCGAGCTGAGTCGAATGGTGCCCTTGAGTCAAGAATTCGTCCACACTGAAGCAAGATATGGCCACGCTACGGCGTTGTTACTTGAGTCGGGAGACAAAAATGACGAGCGGTATTATATGTAGATACTGCTCAAAGTTCATAATTGCTCGAAGTAAGTAACTTCGAGTTTCAGAAATTGTAAGATTTACTACACGTGCGGATGGCCTTATATAGGTTTCACTTGAAAGAGATCGAATGTTCTAAACCTATCAAAGTGTGGGC